TGTATTCACGTTTATTTATTGTTATCCAGCATCGGCACTACCCAGTGACAGGACGTAACTCAAGCTCTTTCGCCGGAAAAATAAAGAGTGTAAATGAAACCTGAAGAAGTTCAAGCAATTTTGCTAATACAAGCCGATTTACAGCAGGAAGTAGCTCAACAATCCGGCAAGCCTCTTCCGGTTGATCACAGACAGCCAGGCATCGCGAATAAAATGCATCTGGGAGTAGCGGTTCCGGAAGCGAACGTAACCACAACTTTAGTAAGGCAGCCGGTACATGTGCATCACGTACCACTGGAACAACTCCACGATCCAGGCGCAATCGAGCTGCAAGCTCAATCACTGCCATTACTCTTTGAATACCCAAATTAGCAAGCAAAACAACAAACCAAACGAAGAGAATTTGTCTACCTGTATGCACATGATCGGGATTTGCTGGCACACGAAAAAGTCCTTCGGTATGCTGGCCATCTGCTGATAAAATCAAATCTATTAGCGTTGTCTCTAACCAAGGCAGCATTCTGAAAAGTTATCTAAGTCAACTTGTCTTTTTTTCGTTTCTTTATAATTTGTAAGGAGTCAGTTGATAAGACATCTCATCCTGGTCTAGGAGTGGTAACGTTTGGGGCGAGATAACGATGCTCATCAAATCTCAAAGTTAAAGGCTAAAGGTTTGGCTGAAGGCTCAAAACGGCTAAAGGCTTGACAACTGCTATTGTCGAAAGAGCCTCTAGCAATGCTTTCAGAAGGCAAAAACGAAGATTGGCCACGAAGCGATGTAGCATAAGTCAAAAACAAGGCACCCCCCTAAAATCACAACAACATTACTCCTTTCAACCAAAACTGGAAGATTTGTCAGGTATTATATGCAAGAAATTCTCTAATAATATGTGCAAACCGTTCACTGGTCACCGTGAACAGCTCAAGTTGATCGCATGGTTTTGCACCGGTATCTATCAAATGTCTAGTGCATTTTAGAATGCGGACTATGTTTCATCCCTTATCTGTAAACACCGATCAAACGCAGCATGCCGGAAGGAGTGGGAATCATCAGCAGTGCTCCTTGAAAAAAGCTGGATTGAATGCAAAAACTGAAGAGTAAACAAGCAAAACTATGCTACCTTTCAGGATATTTTTCAGCTTGCATTTCCATAAGCTCTTCCAGAGGAGCGGAGAATTGAGGAGGATTAAAAATATGTACACGGGACTCCTGAATTAGACTGAGCGATGGCTTCTGTCCTGCTGATGTCACTCGCATCATACGTCTACTGCACTGAATTGCGTAGTGTGATACGGGTACCTATAAAAAAGCAATGAATTGCAGGAATCTAACGCGTCTGGCTTGACTCTGTCAAATTTTGCTCTGCACGGTAAATTAATGCTTATAGCCAAAAACAGAGGAAAAAATACCTCAGGCATATCCAACAATCGATCCGAATTTGCCTCAATGAACTCAGTCAGCCTTTGCGTAACTTCTGGATTCGCTGGTCCAAAAAAAGACAGGAAAATGGCAAGTAATTCCCAGCCTTTGCGTACTGATTCACATCGTTCGTTGGAAGTCAACTGCTTCATAAGCTGACAAAAAAGCTCATCGGCGAAGCTTTCTTTTGAAAAACCCCATTCGCAAAGTGTCAGCGCCAGCTGCAAATAAAATTTTTGTGCATAACTGAATGAATGAGTTTAGCTCAACGCGAAAAACTTGCATGTAAAGCTATGATGAACATTGCCAATGCCACCGGTGACCTCACACTGTGTAATGACCATCTGGCGAAACAACATTGGTCAAAGCAACTGGAGAAGTGTTGTGGAAATTTTAAAGATATTTCGTCTTTATTTCTTTCTGTTTTCGATCTCTTTTTTTTCTTTCTTTTCTTTTTATCTTAAAAACTTTTACGCAACATACACAATAAACCTTTACCTAAATTATCTTTGTTACCACAATCGTCGTACTGACAATGCCCAATTGTGGTAATGGTAAGAAATGTATACGACTTAATGGACCGAAACATTTTTTACCAGTTACAAATAATTTTATACTCTTCTTCCCCTTTTCCCATTTCATTCTCCTTCCCTTCTCTCCTTCTCCTCATTTTTTATCTTACTTTCAGATGCAGACAGTGAATATCCCT